GCCAAAGCCCTGAGGCACAGCTGTGGTGAGGGCAGGACATGGGCCCTCCACAGCTGCTGCTGCAACAGACTTAGCCCTCGGCACAAGTAGCACCCAGACTGGGAGCCCCTTCTGCCTGGGGATACCGCCAGCCACCCGCTCCTCAGCGCATGTGAGGTGTTTCTGGGGAAGCTCAAAGCTCTGTCACCTTGTCCCATGCAGAAACACTTGTCCAGGCAGGGCAGTGCAGGAGGCAGCTGCAGCCGTGACAAGAAACAGGAAGTATCCTGGGCAGGCCTCTGCCTTTGGGAAGACGGGGGGTGCTCCTGAAGGCTGGAGGAAAATGGGATTAAGATCCAAAGGCTGGCTCTCAGAACACATGAATCTCCATTTTTCAATTAACTTGGAGTCTCATGCCAATTCCTGTTTGGTTTCTGCATTGTGTGAGGCTAGCCCAGAATTCGGGAGCCCTAGTGTGTGCAGTGAATGCGGCCTGCCCCTGCCAAACAGCATGCAGGGCCCTTGGTGTGCAACCAGCTCCTCAGCATCTGGAGGCCGTGTCGTTCCCAAGCCAGAGCAACCATATTTGGTTAAAATTGTCTCTGGCTGTTGCAATTCATGGGATTCTGTGTGGTACTGCTGACTTGTTTGTGTCATCTGTCCAATGAATTACTGTCTGCAAACTTCTCCTTCAGTACAAATATGCCTTGCGAACCACTGCAGTTTTTATATATATCTATATGTTTATATATTTACATATATATATATACACGTAATATTCTAAGAAGTCTTCCAGAGCTGCCAAATACTTATTTCCTTCACTCATGTACCATGGGACCCAGGTGCTCCAAGGCAGGGGGTGCTCTGCTGTACAAAGGCCAGAGGGACAATGATTAAATCCGAGTAGATTTTCATTAATTTTCTTTCAAAGCTCTTGAAAAGAAAGGGGAGGGGGGACGTGGTGGGGGGGGGAAGGAAATGATATGTTTAATGTCTAGGCTATTTGCATACTGTAAATCTTTAAGATACTCAAGATAAAGTTTACCCGAATGTGGCAAGACGGCATGGGCACCTCGTGAAGAAATAGCTGCATGGGAGCAAAGGGCACCTGGGCTCTCAAAAGTACAGTTCGGCACGGGACGTTTCACTTCACACCTGGGGCTGCGAGCAGAGAGCCATGCTGTGGCCTGCTTCGGCCCTGGCGCTTTTCATTGCGTTACTAGTGCTGTCTGGGCTGAGCTGTGAACCGAACCACTATGAAAAAAAGAGGCATAAAAGAGACATTTATGACGAGCAGTAAGTACTGTTGCTAGTGGCAATTGCGAACAGATTTGCTCTATGCTGTGTTTTAAGTGCTGTTAATGGGAACAAGAGGCTTAAACGCATATTTTTTCCATACTTTTTGACAGATATGTGTAGCTAAATGTTCCTTTTTTCCCCCCCTACCACAACAGGCCTCGTTTGTCCTCTGAGCAGGGTAACTTAGTGTTCCATACTGGCTCCAGCAAAAATATTGAATTTAGAACTGGACCACTGGGGAAAATAAAAATTAATGAAGAAGACCTTGCAGAGCTTTTTAGTCAGGTGATACAGCTACTTTTTCTTAATATGTTTTCACTCTCAGTCTTCCACATTAACAGTTTAATTTTCTTTAAAAATTATCATAGCAAATTTGATGTGGCTTTTATGATTGTTCCTTTATCTTATCTTTGTTAGTTCTTTAATATGAGTGCGGGCTATTAAATACTCATAAAGTGATCATATTACATTAAGTAATTGAAAAGTTAAATTGTGTATGGAACAGAGCTTTCTGTATTTATATGGACTTTATAACAGTAAGGATCAAACTTTTCTAATCTTTTGAGCAAATAAAGCTTGTTTCACACTATCCTACTTTCTTTTCTAAATGTAGGTGAGGCAAAATACTGTTGATATTCAAGAACTTAGGAAAGGCCTTGGTGCCTCTCAGAACATGTCAGATCAGATTGCCTTGCTGAATTCCAAGGTGAGTCTTGTGCATGCTCCATTAGAGGTCTGATTTTTCCATTCCTCAAGTTAACATATTGACTTGATACATTTCAGTATTCTGGGCTTCAGTTCTGAGTCTCTGTCAGCTCATGTGCATGGCCTGATTCAGCATTTCTGCAGGCAGTGGAAGTATTTCTGTAATTTGCTTACTTGCTAGGTAGCACAATTATTCTGTTGTTCACTGTCATTATCTCTACAAAGTGAAATCCCATTAAGTTCACAAAATGGACTATATATATTCTTATATGTGTTACACAGATATTCCCATTCCATAGGTGAAATGGGCTATAAAAATTAGCAGTGTAAAGAACAGACCTGTGAGGTAGTTCAGCCTGTTCCCTGCTACTGAAGATATTTCTCCAACCGAGGATTCAGAACTCTTTTTGTGACATGTTTTCCAGTACCTTCTGTTAGGCTGTTGCCACCATTTCTTTACAGCCCAGCAGACCTGCTTTTAGATAAACTGCCCATATATCCATCATTTTCACTGATGCAATTTCAACTTGTTATTTGTAGTTACAGCCATGGAGATATGGTGAACATTTGGTTTTGGTTCTCAGTGTACTTGTCTCCAAGAGCAGGCTTCGTGTGCCCAAGCAATCCTACTGGAATATTTGCATTTTTCAAGTTAAGCACTGGAATACATCTTCACAAGACTGTCTTTGTTTGTGCAGCCAAACTCACACATATTTAAGCTGTGATTTTACAAAGAGCCTAACATACTGAAATCCCAGTGTATGCAGACTGATATGAGCCCAGCTGGCAACCAGTTTGACGTAACAGCTATTTGATTTTCCCAAAAGAAAATACTTTGCTAGCCTATTGGCAACCAGCATCCCAGCATACAGTCAGGCCAGTACCTATCTCTATGGTCACTGCAATGCCAAGCACAATGTAATTTGCATTTCTGTTGCAGGTAGTGAATCTCAACATCCAGCTTCAAAATTTAGAGCAGGTGAGTAACTGGGAAATAAACTACAGATCAAAAAAGAAAAGCCCAAGTCCAAGCAAATAAAGTAAGGTTACAATGATTAAATAGGGGAATGATTTATTTCCTCTCATGCATTATTCAGGAAAACTTTCTGTGGTAACAGGAGGTAAAAAAAATACAAACCTAGATTTATAGAGATGATATCCCTTCCTACAAAATATAAACTATGTAGGAGCCTGCATTCCTTAAAGGAAAAACAGCTGTAGACTCAAGAATAACACCAGATACTAAGGAAAAACAAACTCTTCTTTCACTAATCTGTCAAGATGAAGACTTGAGAATTAAAACTGGATTGTTTCATTGTACTGGAAACTCTCTGTACACTCTCAGTTGTTCAGGAGTTCAACTCTCCACTTGTGAGCTTGTGACAAAGGTACGGCTACAGTTGCCAGTACAGGATATCTAGAAGACAAAATAATCCTGCAGCTAGAACCACAAATACTCTGTAGAATAGAGGAACTGCCTCTGTTCATGGTTATTTCTTACAGAGCTTTCCTCTTTTCAGTATTTGCAGTTGGCCACAGTGTGCAAAGCAAATCATAGTCGTTTTGTGCAGATATGAGCAAAACAGCAAGTCAAAACCTTTGCAAACCAATCTGGCTAAAAAAGAAACTGAAAGAAAAAAAAAAGGCAGAAAGGAAAAAAAGCAAAGAAAAAAGAAAGAAAAGGTTTGTCTTGGAAATCAGTGCTAATGAAACTCCACATAACCTCATCTCCTGCTCTCTACCTGCGTTTCAGACTATCGGAAGGAAAGCATGTAGTAGCAACCCCTGTCAGAACGCAGGGACCTGTGTGAACTTGCTGGATGGCTTCCTTTGCCTCTGTCCCAGCAACTGGCAGGTGAGTCTTCAGCTTCTTTGAATATACCATATGTATTTTGACTGTTAACTTTACCCTGGCTTAGTGCAATTGTGGCATAGTTTATCTTTTTAAGATTTCTCAGGACATATTTAACTGCAAAGTGGTTGCTTCACATTCTTCATTTGGTTTGGGTGGAGGGCATTTGCTCTCACAAAATCAATGTATCAAAAAATCTGAGCTCAAATCAATGGCCAGGCCCTGCACGGCTTTGCATGAAGTTGCTGAGCAGAGTGAACCAAACTGCATACCTTGCTGTTGCTCCTATGCGAAGATGTAGAGAGAATGGGGGAAGGGAATGTTGTTTATTCAAGAAATAAAACAAATGTGTGTGTAAGTAACCAATCTCATTCTGAGTTTTGAAATTCAAAGACTTTAATGGCAAAGGCCTTAATGAGTCTTGAGCATGCATTTGGAGACTGAGAAGTTCTGTTTCTCAAATGTGCTCACCCTGAAAGTTGTCCCAGCAAAACTGGGTAAAAATTGCTTTACTTTTATTTTTAATAAAACAGTACCATCTAAAACAAACAAACAAACAGTTTGTCAGAAAGGTTTCTGAGCCATTTTCTAGGAAGTTGGAAAGTATAGGGAATGATAATACTGTGATGTCCATATGCTTCCTATAAACATCTGAAATATTTTATCCCTTGTTTGATACCTAGGGTCACAAACACAGCTGAACAATAGACTTTTGTTTTAATGTTTTATAAGGAAAACTTTGTTAATAGCAGCCCATAGTTTATATATCTTTGGAAATGATATTAAACATTAGCTCCATGGTTTGCTTCATTTCTCAGTTATTTGGAAAATAAACCGGTTTTCCATTTCATCTTAGGGCCTGCTCTGTTCAGTGGATGTTAATGAATGCCAGATTTATGCTGGAACAGCATTAGGCTGCCAGAATGGAGCTACATGTGTGAACACACCAGGCAGCTATAGGTAACTTTTCAAAACTATACACAAAAATCTTATCTAAAATACTCCGCCATATTTGTACCAACTATTGCATTTGTAGTATAGGTTCCAGTACCCTAGATTTATTAGATATCAATGCTGGGAATGGAGATGGCAAATCCTGGCCCAGATGACCCAGATCTCCACCTCAGTGCAAAGCTACTGCGCCAGCCCTGATGAGGTGGGAGGTGAGACGCAGCGCGCTGGCCTCTGGCCAGCAGACCCCCAGAGCAGGATGGTCACCTACCCCTGGAGACAAACAGGAGTGAGGAGATGGTGGAGGCGAGCAGGAGCAGAGCTTTGTCCCCAGCAAAGGCTTGCAGTTACTGGGAACCTACTGAAGGCAAGGAATTGCGCTCACCACTTGCTCAGCGATATTCCCAGCACAGCAGGTACCTGCACAAAATGCCTTCACCCCCTCCCAAAATTCAGGTGCTCCCAAGGCTGCAGCAGACAAGCAGTGTCCCCGCTGTCAGGGAGGAAGGAGGAGCCCTCCGGGTGACGGGCTGGCAATGGGGCTGCCTGCAAACAGGCTCCCATGGACGTGGTGACCCTGGGGCCTGCTCTGGCTGTGCCCATCCTCACCGCAGGCCTCGCTCAGCCCCATAGGGGACATGCTCTTGTTTACAGGGCACACCAGCCGGAGTGTTCTGCATCTTATTTTCCATAGTGGCAAAAAAATTGGTAAATAAATAACTTTCTGATATAATACAAAGCTCTCCCTGTGCAGTGGGAACAAGCAGGCTAGACAGCATGCCACAGCTTTCTGCAAAGCATTTTGTTCTCAGCTTCAGCATGGAAATCTTAGCCCCCACAAATATTTGCTTGGCATAACACTGGCTTATAATGCTTTGTAAAGCATTATAAGAACCTCAGAAGAGGGAAATACTCATTAAGTACTCCTCACATTTCAGTATTAACACGGAGCCTGATGAGATGTTTCTTGGTACATGATGCTTCTTGTGAGCTTTTCTTTGATTTTAAAAGAGATTTGTAGCATGCTTGCAGCTGTAGCCAGGACAGCTGTTTGTCAAGGAAAGTATGCACAAAGCAACCCACCTTTACTTGTTGTTTCTTACCTGTGCTCAGTAATGTGGCATACAGGTGACTAAATGGAGGTCAGAGAAAGCAAAACTTTCTCACAAACGTTGCTATTATGTTAGTATAGTCATCATTACTAAAAATCTGTTCCCACATGTAACTCTTCTCTTCCTCAGTACTTGCTGAATCAGTACCTACTGAAAAGTAAGTCCTCTTCATTGTTCCTCCAAATATCCCAGAATCCCAGAGTGATTGAGGTTGGAAGGGACTTCTAGAGATCATGTAGTCCAACCCCCCTGCTCCAGCAGGGACACCCAGAGCACGGGGCACACGGTGGCATCCAGGCGGGTATCAGTATTCTTGATTCTGCTTTACACCTTCAGGATTATTGTCCAGTCATTTCCCCAAAGGCTTGGGTGCCTTCAGTGCATGTTGGTTATTCCTGAGCACTCCCTAGATGCTCAATTCTTGCCCAAGTACAGTGTGACATGGCTTTTTCCAGCACTTGTGCAAACATCACTGCTCATTCTTCTGGGGCTCTGGACTCCAAGTCACTCCATTGCTGCTCTTGGCATAGTTAACATTATTGTGGACTGCATGTGAGGAAAATGGTACTTTTTAGCTCCCCAGAACTTTCAAAGAGAAGTGGAGGCCAGGGTGAACTGAAGGCAGCTGTGCATCGAGTAGACATGAAGGCTGCAAGTGGAGGGTACGGCAGTCTTCGCTCTCTGCATGCCCTAAGCTCTAACTCTGGAAAGCACTGAAGAGCAGGTATTGAATTGCTTTCCAGAATCAGGATCTTAATAGGGCATTGCTTGCAAAGCTTGCAAAAGTCCCCATGTCCATTAGTTTTCAGTGTCATATTCAGAATAACAGGGGCCTCAGTGTGAGGTAACTTCAGCAGTGGGAAAGAACGAGGGCAATGCCAAGTCACAGCTGCAATTTGGTCAAAGCTCCTTGGGAACTACCTACCTTGTGAAGCTGTCCTCTAAGCAATTTCAAGTGGGTAAGAGATTAATCTTTGCCAGGGTAAGTGGGCGAGAGTGGCATTTCCCCGCTCCTTAGGAACCTCTTTGATTGCCTTGGCCTGTCCTTTGGAGTTGAACATGAAGCTCTGAGCTGTACTTTGAACATACAGAGGTGATCTGGTTCCCTGACCTGCTGCTATTGTGCCTGCCCTGATTGAACTGCTGCATCTGGGAGATGGTTTTGGTTTATCTGCAGACTCTCATGATAATGAACAGGCTGTTTCCCAGTTCTCCAGACCGCAGTTAAGCATTAAACTCTTGTGGGTTTTTTTTTCAAGCCTAAGTTCATGGAGTTTGCTTGCCATGTGAGCAGTGTTTAGTAGCCTGCAACTGGCTTATCAAACTGTTTTTTCAACTGTGCATGTTACAGCCAGCAGAAGTACTGACAGCTTATTAATAAACTGCTCCAAGGTCCAAATCAGCTGCATTGGAATGCTCTGAATCAAATCCCACAGATAAATACTGTGGCAGAGTGTTTTTTTTTAGCCCACCAAGAGCAGTTCAGCAAGGGTGTGTAGTTACCATACGTCTCTAAAGAGCAGATACATCAGCACATGCTTCCAGGTAAGTGACTCAAGCCAGCTCCCTGAGAGGAGTGTTCCCATAGGTTTTTTGCCATTCCATTTGTTGTTACATTTGAGAGAGCCTAAGATTTGGTCCATGTGGAAACAAAGGGCTGTAGAAAAGGGAAGTGTTACCTGATGGCTCAGAAGCTTCTCATTTCAGTCTCACTGTTTTTGTACAATGCTGAGAATAAGAAATGCTCTAAAAATAACAACACGTTTCAGCTGGCAGCCAGCAGGCCAGCTGAGGGCTGCATCCCTTCAGCCCAAGAGTTTGTTCTCCATACATCCCCAGCCCCAACCTCCTCCTCTTCTCTGCAATGCTCATCCAAAGTGTGTGCTTGTAGAGGTGGAGTGCAAGGGTAGCTGACTTGAGTCACGCTGGAGAGATGAGTAGAGACGTTCCTAGGCTATGGACATTGAATATTCTTAGATAGGAGATCAGCACTAGTCCTAGTGTTGCCAAGGCATGTGTATTGCTAGAGGCAACTGCTTTCATATGAGGAAAAGAACTTAAAATGCAAAGTTTAGGTGCTCTCTGGCTTATGTTGGGAATTCCAGGTTCCCATTTTTCCCAAGAATCATTTTAGACATTTCCCCTTTTCTGAATCTGCACTTATGAATGTAACACAGGACTGTGGATTCCCCTATGTGGTCAGACTTGAAGCAGTGCATGAGTCCTGTGTAATTTCTCCATCTCTGCTGAACAAAGCGCATTGTTATTAGTGGGAATAATTGCTCAATATTGCTCATAAAATCAGGGACTTCATGAGAATCAGCGCATGAATAAAGAGTAGGCAGTATTATGGCAGTGTGGGACCTGTGATATGTATGTAGATAACATTTTGATTTTCCTGTCTGCTTTCACTGTTAGCTGCTCCTGCACTCCAGACACCTACGGGCCTCACTGTGCCTCGAAATTTGATGACTGCCAGGGAGGATCTGAGACGCTCTGTGAACATGGCATCTGCATAGACGCAGAGAGGGATCAGCCCAATGTGGTAAGGAACAATGTATAAGCACAGAAGGAAGCAGCAGTGGATAATGCTGAGCACCACAAAGCTGTGTGACAAACACTGTTGCTGAAAGACAGCAAGTGCCACTGTACAAAATAAGCTAACCTCTCTGTTGTCCTAAGGTCAGCAGAAAGAGGTGAAAATGCCTTGTGTTTTATCAGAGGTTTGACATAGCATCAGATCTACCGTTACATCCATAGGGGACTTTAGAATTTTCTTTGAGTATTTAAAATCTTATTAGAAACATAACATTCTTTGTGTTCCTTATTTGGGGATTTCAGTACTAAGTTGCTGCAATATCTTTATTACTTAAATGATTAAGAAAGGAAAACTATGGGAGATTATTACTAATGACCCGGGAGCCACCAACACTGCACAGCTGCTGCGTGGCTGCTGTTTACGTACGGGGCTCTGTGGTCTCACTTGGACTCAGTGCTTGTTGGCGTGAGGGCCTTGGCTCTCAAGGTGTCTGCACAGGGTGGATGCCAGCGCACTCTGGAGTAGCCCTCTGGAGCAAGTCAGCTAGTTCTTTTGGGAAGAAAATCCAAGTACGGATGTGTGAAGGTGCCATCTTTGGCTCTCTGCGTCCAGAGCAGCCCTCCAAAACTACCCCAGCAGACCTTGTGTTCCTTAATGCTTCCAGCACACCCAGCCCAGGCACACCACACATGTTCTTGGTGCTATGATATAAAATTATTCTTATGATCAATTTGTTAAAGCTGTCATAATTCATCACTTTCTGTTTTCTTCTCTCTCTCTCTCTCTCTTTTCTTTTTTTTCCTGTGGGGAAAGCTTTCCAAAAAGGTTAAGTGTTGACTCTGCTCCCATAACAGTCAGTAACAAAACTCCCATTAGCTTTAATTAGAACAAAGTTAGATAAATGCTGAAGTTTGGCCATTAGTGAAGCTTATGAGAGAAAAAATTGTTGCTCTCACTGAAAGTGTAGATTTGTAATTTATCATCAGCTTTACACATTACACAGATTACTGAACAATTTGCTTTAAAGAAAACAGCAGATTGATTTCAGGTTGCTTACATTGATCTCTTTACCCTGGATACAAAACAAGTTGATAATTGTAAATTATTTTTAGGTACAGTTTCTAAGGGCTGTTCATTTTTATCTGGAAGATTTGGTGTAAACTGCAGGTTTCTCTTATGAACATAATGAATCAGCCTGTTGTTTTTCCCATAATCTAAATACTTTAACTCAGAGGAAGAAACACACAGAGAGAATTGCCCGAGAAGATAACTTAAAACCAGCATGTGCAAGTCATGCAGTGCTCTGAACCCTTTCCTGCACT